CAACACTCCTGCATCAACTTGTCTCTTAAAAATGACATTTCAATTACATCCCTACTGTCAAGTCCTTGCATGACTACCTAAAGTTGATTGTAGGTGGGAAAAACAAGTTTTCTGTGCTCTGTGAAAAAAAATCCCAGCACTGTTCACCAGTGTTCCTGATATGCATTTCATAATTTCACAAGTTTCCCCAAAGCGATAGGAGTCCTGACTTGTCTTGCTTTGCTAGTCACAAATTTGCTGCCTGGAGGCGCTACCAAGATGATGCCCAAGGGAAACGATTTCAGAAGTTGTAGTGGCAACAGCAGAGACAGAGGTAGAGGTGGAGGTAACCAAGCAGCAGCAGCAGCAGCAGCAGGAGTAGTAATAGTAGTAGGAGCATGTGGTTGTTTGAGAGAAAAGTGAAGCTCTCTCTGTGTGTGTGTGTGTGTGTGTGTGTGTGTGTGTGTGTGTGTGTGTGTGTGTGTGTGTGTGTGTGTGCGCGTGGGGAAACTTTGGGAAAAGTGTGTTATCTTGCCAGCTGTCAGAGGAATGAAGCAACAGCCAGTTGACTGAGCGCTGTGTGTCAGGGGATAGAAAAGACTTCTTCAGCTGAACTGCCACAGCATTCGAAGAAAAACAAGCTGGAGTGACACGTGGTGCTGGTGCACGATAAATCATGGATGGGGGTGGGATGGGGGTGGGATGGGGGGCTTCTGGTGTGGTCACTGCAGCAATAAAATACAGGATAAATTATTGCCATTTACATTTTTGTAACATGCAGGGCACCGACGCTAAATCACTGATAACTGAAAACCCTAAGCCACACCTTAACTGTACAGGTTTCAAGTTTTATTCAAATATAGTGGGAAACAGAAACGTCTCCTGCAGTACAAAGCTGCATTTATCTGGAAAATGAATTTGTGCTGCTGACGTTTAAAGTAAACACCGCCCTCATCTGTCCCTGAATGCCGCACCATTACTTCAATCTGCATCTAACTGCTTCTTGTTCCTGTCCACTCCCCGACATTTAATCCTTTCATGTCAGGGACATTGAGATTTCTGATTTGAGATGTCATTGTGCAAAAGTTACATGAAAAATCATTCTGGTCATATCTGAAAATACAAGCACAGAGAAACCAAGCTGACAGACGGCCCACACATGACGGAGAGGCATTTAATCTGGTTGTTCTCAGTATGTAACTGAACCTAGCTCTTCTCATTTGACCTTCATTGTCTCTTCACTTGGCAGGTGTAACTTATTAACCAGCCTCCACTCTGCCTTATTTTGACAAGTTGACTGAGTCTTCAAGGTTAAACAAGGGCAGGGCGGTCGTGTGTGTAAGGGCGACAAAGTTTTGCAACACAACAGTGAAGACGATGGCATCTGGTGGCTCGACCTCTCCGTATCGCCGACCTGTTGTTTTGGGCTAAACAATACCTCCATGGCCTTTAACAGGCCGCAGCAACAAAAACTCCAGTCCTGTGTGGCTGCGCAGTGTGCGCTGTTACCATGCCAGCATACAATAAGCCACACACTAATGGTTATCACTGCAAGGCCTGGCATTTCTTGGCTTCCTCAACTGCCAAACGACTCTGATTCCTGTACTGAACCATCTAAGGTCATTGAAGTCATTATCATTTCCACCAATTTGGAAGGAATGTCACTTCCCCTGGTCATTTTTCCCTCTGATGCCAGTCAGATCCTGTAACGCTACCAACAGTGGTCGCCCTGTCCTGTCTGAAAGAAAAACTCTGGTACATTACAACTATTTTATTTTTAATTTTGTAGCTTCAACAGTCTTCTATCGGTTATGAAAACACTGTACTCACCTAAGCAACTTCTGAGATCTTGGCGACACTAAAATGACCACAACCCCGACCATAACACGACCACTAACATGAGACAACGGTACAGGTTGAAAACAAACCCCCTCAGGCGAGTCAAACATATACTTACAACACAACACTGATTTCCTGGTTCAAGTTTGACCTGCTGCAGCTGTGCACATTGATGATTTGCCTGTGCAATGAGGGATAATTACAAATTACAGGTACATGCACTTTTAGTTATACCTTTGAATTAAGTGGAAGCTCATCTTCCAAAATTGTCAGTTTGTTCACAACCTGTATGAACACCTGACCGCTTGTTTTTACCTTGTTCTTAGGCTTTCAACAGGATCAAAATGTTTTCAATTTAATTAAAATATATCATTTTGAGTGTTTTGCTTTCCTCTGAATCCAGGACAGTACATTATTAGTCAGTTTATTTACTGTAATTTTATATGTGACACACAGCTGCCACTTTTTAAAAATACCCACTGAAAAAAAAAGAATATCACTTTAAGAATACGCTTTATTTTTAATATTTTCACCGTTTTATCTTGCCGTCAAACAGCCCCTTTCCTTTGGAACTACATTATCTCAAGTGTTGAACTACTGTATTCCTACTTTTAATTCTGTCTGACTCAATCAGCTGATCTGCGGAGTAACAGAGTGCGCTCCGTCGTTGTAGGTAACACACACAACCCCAAGTCAAATAACCCGATCTGTCACTTTAAGCTACTGAATGTAACTTTAAAATGAAGAAACGTCACAGTCTCCCTCTTACGAAGGAAAAGCTGAGTTCATAAGCATAAATGGCCCTTTGTTCAAACACACTCAGGAGCATTACTTGGTCTTGTATGACCAGTAGCTTATAGCAGCTAGTGTTACAGGTAGATACAGCTATAAAAGTGACATTACTGAGCGAGTTTTCTTTTCTACTTGTGTTACTGTTAAAATATGTTTCAGCCTTCACTACCATCCTTCATCCTCATCATCCTTTAACCTGTAGTTGTTAAAATGTCTATAGAAGCATTTATTTTTGCTTGTTTTTTAGTTAATTTTTTCCTTATTAAAACCTATTCCTCCAGCTTGAACTGAAGTCCTGCTGAACGAGGAGTCCTGTTGCTCACTGTTGACTCCTCCTGAAACTTCAAGCTTAACAAATCTCCGCTGACTTCACTGACAGACTTGTTTTATAGTTGAATTCGGTGTGTAATTGCAAATGGGAAGGCAGTGCAGCTCTGTGAATATTTACGCTGTAGGTATTCAGCCATCCAACATGACTCACGGCCGCCAAACAATAGCATCTTTGTAGGCTGCCGCTAAATCAGAGCGCACAAGAAACCCCTGTAAGCCGCCCCCTTTGCTGTGAAATTTAAGTCAAATTAAGGAAGCGGGCTGGATTCATCTTGACAAGTGCAATAAGGCCACATTACAGCAGTAATCATAAGTCTTTTATTGCAGTGAAATAGCTTCCTGCTTCAATTAAGTTCCAGTGCCTGCATTCTCCTGACAGCAGAGTGAACCGAGGGGAAAGTAGGGCACAAGACTCGCTGCAGAGGGGTACGGCAATTTGTTGTTTCTGTGTGATGAGACGGAGGTTTAGTATTTTTGCAAAGGACGTGGTTCAGGTGCAGGCAGGGGCTGATAGCAGGAGGGGAGAGAAAAAAACAAGGTTTGTTCCTAGAAGCCTGCTTCAGGGAACGATAGAGGGGCCCAGAGAGAAAAAAGAGAGAGAGAGGCATCCAGCAGCATTGTGTGAAAAGAGAGAGAGAGAGAGAGTGAGGGAGAAAGAGGGGGAACAGGGCTGAAAACAACCAAGCACACATAAACAAGCTCACACACATAAACTTGACCACGTGCTGGAAGACCACACACACATTCGGATTACTGAACTTGTGAGGACTTCTGACTACATCCATCTCTAATCCTCAAACCTGAACCTGATCTGGACTTTAATGAAAAATTCTTGTTTATCAACAACTTGGGTCTTTTTTTCATAGTTTTGACCGTTGTTTTATCAGTTATAACAGTGTTGTAATCAAGTATTCGCTAAGATATGAGAACACGACAACAGTACTACAACAAAGTCCAAAGTTTAGGTAAGGGATGTTTTCAAGTTCCCTTGTCCCAGAAGTTCATTTGCTAGTTAAATTTGGCTTGGCTTATGTTTTTTTTTTTTTTTTTTGCCATAACCTATCTCTGACATTGTGAATTTGTTTTTATATATATTATATAATTTATCCTGTACATTTTCATGTAAAGTCAGCACATTTCTAAAGCTGAAAACATCTCACCACAAAGTCTATTTAGTAGCTGTTATAAAAGTTGATATTGAAAGTTCATCCTTTACCTGGTTAGCTTTGCTTACTTGATAACCTTAACACCAACAAGGACAAGAAGTTTAAAACCCCAATGAAGAGCACCTTGTAACCCAGGTATTGAAAGGTGCTCTATAAATAAAATTTACTTTACTTACTTATTTATTTTTATGACATTTGTTTGATTTCAACTTGTGGGAAGAAAACAAATCCTTCTAACTTAAGCCTACTGCTAGTTCTAAACCTAAAACTAGATGCAATCCAGTACTGACACTGACTTAACTGAGAACTAATCATAATTCTAGTTAATAATCAAAACTAATGAATAAGCATCTGCAGCATGTCCTCAGCCTAAAGGATTTCAAACTTTCTCTCTATTCTTGTAAAGACATGTGCTCCTTAGAAATCATGAAATGCAACACACACACACACAAAGACACACACACAGACACACACAGGACTGGATGAAAGGTTACTGTGTGCCTCAGCGCCCCTCTGTTTTCCTGGAGCTAAAGGCGGACTTTGAACCTTGCGGGCCAACAAGGGGAACATCAAGGTTAGCAAACGCGACACAGATTAAGATACTGGGGAGAAAAAGAGAGGGAGAGCATGGGAAAAGAGAGGTACGCCATGGGAGTGGGTGGTGTTTAAAGCATGTATTAAAGGCCCCACTTCAACAGGCTTTTTTTTGTGCTGCAACAGATCTGCAGACCACTGACAAAGAAGAAACATGAGGGTATTTGAAAATATCAAGTTCTTCAACAGGGGTAAATGTTCAGATATGTGTTGCAGAAGTGAGGTTGGAGACGCACAGAGGAAATAAGTGTTCTGATCAGAAGTTTTCGTTATCTACCAACAGTATAGAGGGGCTCTTACTAGTGATGGGTCCTCTGTCTCAGCTCCCAGGGACTGGCTGAAGTCCTCAGCACTGAGAGGAAGACTATCCTCTTCCTCCTCTTCCTGGTCAGGCTCCTCTCCCAGGGCTGGGAAGACGGAGAGCCCGCCCACCTCGGCATCCACCATGCCATCCAAACTGTCGGTCAGAGCGGCCAGCAGAGCCGCATTCTCCTCTTCTATCTGTAGGGAGTCAAACGCAGAGAGAACATGGGTCAGAACATTGTGAATGTACAGGATAAAGGTCAGCACATTTCTAACGCTGAAACCATCTCACCACAAGGTCTATTTAGGAGCTGTGATGAAAAAGATTTTACCTGGCTAGCTTTGCTAACTTGCTAACTTTTAGGCCAACATGGACAAGAAGTTGAATATCTCCCATTCTGTGACATCTCTGTCAAACCCCCATTAACTACTGTTCCCCATCCTACCTCATTTCTACATTTCCCAGGATTCAAAATCATTTCAGGGAAGCAGCATTAACTTTTTTTTCTCTTCTCTCAGCTGCTGTGACCATATAAGAGAGGACATCAATTGCAGGAGATTTTCCAGTGAAGAAAACGCTGACAATCAGCTTCACTTATATCCCAAAATACCTGTGGCCACATTGCATTCTGGTCTATTTCCTCACAATCCCCCCCCTGTGTGGTTGTTGAACGTCGGCAGAAAATAGCAGCTCTTCAAAGAAGCCCTCGCTTTCATTTGTTCACATTTATTGTTGATGTAAACCTGAAAGAAAGCTTGCGTAGCAGATACAAGCTACGTCTTATGATGAATTAAAGGTCCCATATTTTACACTTTTTCAGTGTTTTATTTAAAGTTTTGATATTTATAATAAACAAAGTATTTGTGGTTTCAAGTAACAAAAACCATCTCAATGTAGTTTTACACCTCCTCTCTCAGGCTTTTCTCTGGAGCTCTAGTAACAACAGGTCGGTGAGCCAATCAGAAGAGAGGAGACTCTGAGCCTCTCTTCTGATTGGCTGACTGTTTTCTGAGTGATTGAATAAAAATATAGCAGATTTCAGGTAAACACTCAAAGAAACCAAATCCTGCTAGATTGGATGGTGGGTCCGGTTGGGCGGGGCTTGGTGAATGGAGAGCGGACACTGCTTTGTTGTGTCATCACAAAGTTACAATAAGTCCTGACGGCTCATTTTAAGGCTCAGTTTCTGAATACAGGCTGTGTGCATTTCTCTGTGGACTGAGCACTTCGAAACTTTCACAGTATTAATATAGAACCTAGACCTGCTTTATAATCAAAAATGAGATGGTGATCTCACTTTATACAATATGGGACCTTTAAGATTTTACAAATGTTTTATGTGACCCTGCACTGCAATCCAAAGACATGAAATAACAGCCATATTTGAGTCATTTAGTCCGGAGTATCAAGACAGTTGGAAAATAACTAAATTCTAATAGATTTATATATGTATATTACATTTATGTATGGAAATAGAAAAGAGACTCCAGACTTTTGGAACCAACCTCTCCTCTATCTTCCTCCTCTATTCACGCTTAATCAGCTGTTATCTGAAGTCCACTCTTGCTTCTCTTCTATCTCGTTTGTTAACATGGTCAGGATAATGTAACCCTGGCCTTTGACCTCATTATAAAGAACAATACACAAGTTTGCTGAAACAGGAGTTTTTGTCTTATAAATGGTTATTGACCAGTCTGCATCGTCATTTTCCCTTTCACTTTGATTAATGTGATTCATTTTGACTGCCTTGGTTCCTGTGATGGTGTACATGCTTCTCCAAGAAAAAAAGAAAAAAAGAGAAAGCATGAAAACAGCCTAATTTGAAGATACACATCAAATACACATTTATCTGTAATTTCAGTCCAAAATTTGCCCCTTCTGCACCCTCCTCCATCCCTCCTGTTACATCCACACAGGGGTTGTTTACTGTTATGGAGCTGCCATCTTGCTGAGAGCGGAGTCTGGTGGAGAGGTGATAGCATGGCTGGCCTACGGGAAGCCACTGAGCTCCAGTCATCTGTCTCTTCCTTTTATCATCCAGCTCTATCTGTTCCCGGCTGCCAAACTATTTATTATTAAATTTATTCCCTGTCTCTCAGGCTTGCTGACGCTCTTTCTCTTCACTGGATGCGGCAACTTAAGAGTTCGAATCTCTCTAGTCGATGTCAGGAGTGTACTCAGAGTCAAAGTTAAAGTTTGATGGGGCATAAATGATTCTGTTCCTGATAATTATAGTCATCTTTGGGTGAAATATATTTCCGTTTTACTTAATTCACTCCTTTATCCACATTGTACTACATCTCCAGAGGCATGAGTTTGAATCCAACTTCTTATACATCATTTTCATACTAAAACGTTCTTTCCATTTTTCATCCTGTATGAAAGAAACAGGGATGGCAACAGTGAAAGAGAAAAAGTGACATATAAGAGGCAGCATAACAGCATTACTATTATCATTATGTATTATTATTAAAGTCATAATTTTAACCTAACCTTTCTAACTCTCTCCAAGGCTAAATGAAGTCGGACTTACACACACAAACACAGATCAATCTGGTCCAACATGGGATTAGATTCCGATGCGCTACTGCAAATAAGTGGCGTATTGATGGGAAGCAGAGAATCAGAGACACGGGGGGCCTCATCTGTCCGCTTATCACTCTATTCATTACTGTGTTCATAACCCAAAGCCGTCTGACCGTCTGCTCTGCTGTAGCCTATTAGTCTGATCAATACAATATTGGCTAAGATATAATATAGTGGAGGAATGAAGGGGGGCGAGGTAGGGAAAACCAAGGGAATATCAACTTTTCTTTAAAAGATAATAAAGAGGAAAGTAGAAAAAATTGAACTATGTATACAAGCTGTGAAATATGGGTTAAAGTAGTTATGAGACTGAGCACAAAAGTTGAAGAAGTTGAGGAAAGAAGGCAAGGAAAGGATGATGTCAAACCCCGGAGAAAATAGACATGTGAAAAGACGGATAATAAAAAGAGAGAGAAGCCATTTAAAAAGGGAAATGTATGAGAGAGACGCAAAAATAAAGTGAGATAAAGTCAGAAAAAAAAAGACTCAATTTGAGACTAAAGTCAAGAAAAGATTCAGTGAGGAATCTGAAGTACAAGGGAAAGGAGGAAATGGAGCAAAATTGAAAAAAGAGAGCTCAACAAACAGATAAGAGACAGCAAGTAAAATAGCAAAAGTATTTGAGAAAAAAAGATGGAGAGAAATAGAGATAGATGTGCCTGTATCCATGTCATGTTTTCTCTTTTGTCTCCTTCCTCTCGTAAGTCTTTATCAGTTGAATGCTGTCAGCAGCAGATCACAGTAATGAAGCTTCCTGCTCTCGCACCTTTCTCATAACGATTATGCCGTCAGTACAAATATCTATTACCGCTTATGTACTTCTTTTGAGTCTGTCCTCAGATACCAACTGTGTCGTAAAGTTTTGTTTTGTGTCGGCAGCAGGAAGACAAACAGTCACTCAGGCGTCAGCTAATGGGGATCGAAATGAGAATAAAAACTGAGAAAGACACAGAGGCAGTCTGTGTTTACTTCACCTACATTCCCATCATGCCTTGCCTACCTTCGTTTAACCAATACTGTGTAGTGCATCGCAACATCACAGCAATTTTCACCAGCAGAGTTGCATTACATAGCCGATGATCTGGACCTAAATGCTACTTTATCTCTCTGTTGTCGTCTTTTTATTCTCAAGATGCACTCAATTTAGCCTCTGTAATGGGACCACGAGACATAACTGGAAACGTATAGACAATCAATGATCCAGGGTTTGCTTTCAGATAGAAAAAAAACAAGGAGGGTGTTCCCTGAATTCATCCAGCAAGGGCACCTGATACTGTAGCCTCAGGCCTTTCACTGGCGCTGTAGAAGCACTGGGCTGATCCAAACTGATGGACTGCTTCCGTCATCATGTTACACACAGCGTAACTGGCACTTACTTTCTTGGCAGTGCCCTCTGAGACATGCTGCATATCCAAATTTCAGCAAGGGAATCAGGTGAAGGGTCAGGGCTTTGCATGTGTCAACAGCGAAGGAAATGTTGGCCCCAAAGCCAAGATTTATTAAATGTACGAAATCATCCTGCCCCCTACATTTGCCTGTTCAAACCCACATCTCTTACGAAATCTGCTGAAGACCCACTGGACTAATAATTCCACATTTCTGCTGAACAGTATTATCAGAAATAAAACATTTACACAAAGCAAGCCACCCCTAAGTCACCCATAACCTTAACCCAAGCTGAGGAACTGAAATCCCTTAGCACCTCAGTGGGACTGGGTTGTTTTTACTAACACTGCACAAAATCAGCTCCATATTTGTTTTAAAGCACATCTAAACTAGGTGTCCTCTAGACACAAAAGGTTCAGCCATTTAAGGTTCCTTCTGTCATTGCTCAAACATTTATGTTGTGTTTAGGGGTCAAACAGGATGTTTTTCCTCAATCAAATCAGATTAAAAACTTTCCATTTAAACTGTGGCTTCAGGGTGCCAACTTTGTGGATTAGTCTTAAACCTCAAGCAATCTGTGCTTGAATCTGTTGATGAAGTGGGTCATTTTCTTGTGCAAGGGCTTGTTTGTGCCTTTAACAATGTACCTGTACTTGCAACATTTGCAGCAGTTTCTTAACGAACCTGAAGCCTTTCTGAACAATTCTTCAACATGAAGCAGCATTTTGTTTGTCTGTCTTTGGAGTCTGATAATCAAAAGGGGGATGTGAATGCCATGTTTTTTACTGGCTGACTTAGAATTTCCCAATGGTGGACTTTCCAACCCGCATTTAACATGGCTTAAAGGATAAAGACAAAATAACTACTGTTTAAAACCAGCTAACTCTAAACAACTGATCCTTAGGCCAAGATTATCTGTAAGTAATAACATTTACGATAAAAGCATGACTACAATCATTGAAGAGCTTGTCCAAGGCTGAATTCAGAGCAACATCTGTGTTTCGGTGATGAAGCCTCACCTCGAAGAGCTCATCTGCCGTACTGTAGTGGATGGAGGCCGGTGACGCGTCTGCAGGCTGATCATTGCACCACTGCAGCTCGCTGAGACAGTTGACACTGTCGAAGTCACTGGTGTCCAGCTGGGAGAGGTCGATGTCCGGGAAGTCAGTGTCCAAACGGTCCGAACACACCTCCTCCTCCCCATACTGAAGATGGAAAAAGAGAGAGAGAAACAGGGAAAGGTCATGTTAGTCTAACATCAAGATTAAAGCAAAACTCCCAGGCGGTTTGTTCTTGCAACAGAAGTGCATGAGCCTCTTTGTAAAACGTGATCCCAAAAAACTGGAGGTGCTGATCACAGCTGGAGGAAACCTCAGTGAGAAATGAACAAGTTTGCATGCGTCACTCATGTCTGCCACTTTGCTCTTTTATGCGATCACAAAGGAAATGCTGTTTTCTCAGTAACCGCTGCTCTCTGAAACGCAAGCTACCAAACATGGGAAATAATTCTGCTCCCTCTATGAGACTGCCGAGGTTGGTGTTTTCTCTGAAGTTCATTGCTCAGCGCAGCACTACCATTGTTAGAATTAGGGGTTTAGTTCCCATTGGGCCACCCTTTCTAAAATATGTATGCAGTTGAAGTACTGTGAGGCACTTTCGATAAAAGCTTCCATCATCTGGCATATACTGTATATTATTACACTGTTAACTGTCTGAGTCACAAGGAGCTCTCATCAACAGCCCCTCATCTCTCAACAGCTACTCATTACAGATAATGAGACTTCCATGTTACACGAGGTTCGACACTGAAACCAATAGAGGCATCTGCCCCAGCACAATGCAGGATTAGACCGAAAATGTGTCACACACACTGGCAGTCGTTGTGGAAGTGCCTTCATGCATTTATCCTGCTACATCTCCCTGTGGCTCACAACAAAGTGCAATCGTGACCCAAGAGGTCTTCAGGTGATTAGTTCCCCTTCGTTGGTTGAGTGTGTGTTAATCAGTGAAATGAGCTGTTCTGCTTAATATGTAGGCTCTTTGGTCACGGTGGCAACATGGTTGATCGAGCTTTGTTTTGCTGTGTTTCATACAGTCAGACATGTTGTGAACCACAGTTCTTATAAACTAAATGATTTGCTCTGTGGAAATCCTCTAGAACAGCCTGCAAGAGACAATCCTATGAAGATTACCTCAGGGCACTCTCAAAATGTTATGAGACCTTACTCCAATTGCAGTAATTCATTGCTTTTCAACTGTGACACACGCTTTCATTCATTCACAGATTAAAATTTAAAATTACTTGATGTACCCCTATAAACCTCATTAAGGGATGTCGAGTTGCAAACCTCAGAAATCCCTCTAATAACCTCTTGAACCCACTTCATCCCTTGAACTTGATCAGGGACATTGCCAGCTCCCTCGCGAATCCATGAAATACCCTCATGATCCTTTGGGAACTTCTAAAACCCGTAGATCCTAAAACCCTCACTGAAAAAGGCTGTAACCCCAGTGAATTCCTGAACCCCTTCAATGAAACCCGAATCTCTTTGAAGAACCCCTCAATCTATGTAAGTATCCAGGAAACCTCCTCAAGAACTCTTCAGCCCTTCTCAAAAGCTCTTAGACCTCATCAAGCATGCCTCAAAGCCCCTCAAAAACTTCTGGAGTCCACTCTAGAAACCCTGAAACCCTCTCAAGAAGCTTTTTTTTTTACAGGCTGTAGAGTGTTTGAAATCCCCAAGAAATCCTATAGCCCCCTAAAGAACCATTTACACCCCTCCAGGAACCCTTTTAACACTATTAAGAATCCCGGAAACCTCCTTAAGAGTCCCTTAAATGCTCTTAAGAACACGTGGAATCCCCTTGCAAACGCCTCAATCACGTTCAAAAACCTCAGGAACCCCAAATTGTGCTCTACTAAACTAGTGTTCCAGTCAGAAATAGCTGCCACGTGGTCTGCAGTCACAACACATGGCTTAGATTCAGACAGAAACATTGGGCCACGTCACTGAGAGAACAGAAAAAAGAAGAAGAGCAGGAAGTGTGTGTACGTGACTCAGTGTGTAGCGAGGCGACTGTGGTCTCTCAGGGGAGAAGAACGAGGGAGGAAGGAGGAGGAAAAGTTTGGAGAAAGAAGGAAAAGAGGGCAAGGAGGGGAAAGAAAGAGGAAACACTTGGGAACAGAAACCAGTCCAAATGGAATTTAACAAGGAATCCAAGCATTGTGTGAATCTGTATGTGTGTGCACATGTAGGCTGTTTCCTGAGAAGACGAGAGAGGGATCAGTGACCTATTGTATCCATGATGAGGAAGCATGCTCTGTTACTGGTCTCTCATTCACTTATAAGCCCACACCCACACACCCACACACATGCAGACACACGCACACACACATCAACACACTTCCTTTTTCATTCATCTCACAGGGCAGACCAGTTAAACCAACCGTCTTTCAAACTGAATCAAACAGACAGTTTTCACTCCCTATCAGATTTCTTCAGCAGTAACGTCACGTCAGACTGACTCTAAACACTAAACTGCACATTGTTTCTTTAATATTTTGTCTCTGACATCTGAGAATACATATTGTGTCCCATGTTATAAAATTAGTTATTTATTCTGATGTTGATGAGAATATGAGAATATGAAAAGCACAAAGGTAGAGACAGAAATTTAAAAGTGTATAGAAATAGTAAAAGTCTATTTCATATGAATTGTTGTCTTTATAATACAGGAGGTTACACTACGCCCTCTGAGCAGCGCTACGTCTTCCGGGCAGATTGGAAGCTATAGTGAGTCGCTGTGGGAAAGTGACATGACGGGCCGGGGCTAGCTGGTTAGCGTGCTAACTTCAGTTGAAGATGTTGCTGTCCACACCTGGAGATAGCTGTTGGTGAGTAAAGGAATGAAGTTTGATGCTGAAGTTGCAATGTTTCTGCAACTGGTAACTAAACAGCTGTTGATGCTAACGTTGTAGCAATAGCAATTTGTTTGCCATAAATTTAACCTGGCTGTCCAGCTGAAAGATCTGCTGCAGCAGCTAACAGCTAGCTAAGCTAATCAAATCTCTCTCTGTGAATCTGCAGAATTCACATTTCCTGAAAATTAATCAACAGTATACACATTCAGCATGAATTTATAATAATTCATTATCTCTGCTTCCACACAGCAGTGAATGACCATCAACATCTCAATTCTCTAATCCTTCCCTAAAGCTCTTGTCTTGTGATTCTGCCACTGTGCTGATTTTTGAAAATATTTATCTTGTTTCATATCCTTACATCATATTTTAAACTGTTTTATTATTACAACTGCTCCCCTGCCTGTGTGTGTGTGTGTGTGAGTGTGTGTGTGTGTGTGTGTGTGTGTGTGTTTATTTGGTCTGAGCGAGGAGTGTTTATTTGGGTCAAGGGATGGATAACACGAGCTGATATCATTTATGGTTTCATAAATTACAGAGCAGAATTACACAGCACACCAGAGCAGACTTGATCAAAGAGCCAATCAGCAGAGTGGAGAGAGAAAGAGAGAGGATGGAGGGATGGAGGGAGAGAGAGGTGTGAAGAGGAGAGAAGGATGAAAGGAAAAAGGAGGGAGAAAAGAGGGAGAGACCAAGGGAAGAAAGGGAGGGGAAAGAGAGATGAAAGGAAATAAAAAAGAGGGAGAAAAGGGAAATGAGGACCAAGAGAGAGAGAATAAAAGAGTGATAGAGGAGGAGCTATGAGGAGAGGGAGGGGGAGGGCAGTCATGACTTGATAGAGAAGCAGAAGAAGATGGGAAGGAGGGAGGAGACGAGATGGGGAAAGGATGCCCTCTATAAGACCCTCCCGTTGCTTCCTCTCCTTCCAGTTGCTGATGCAGATGTGTGTTTTCACCTAGCTGTCTGTGCATGTGTGTGCGTGCGCGTGTTTTTGTTAGTTAGCATGCAGCTCACATCCCCCTCACGTGTGCCTGACTCATGCCCCTCCACCACTCGTTCGCCCTGCTCATCATTCCTTTCTTCTCTCCTCTTTCATCTCGTTCTCTTCTCCCTTCCCTCCTTCACCTTTCCTTCATTCAGCATCATTTCCTCTACCTCTGCTCTTAATCTGTGCTCTTTTCATTCTTCTCTCATTCCGTCTCAATAATTTCATGTCCTTTTCCCTTCTTCTCTTTTCTCCTCTTTCCTCACGTCTTACGCCCTGCTCTCCTCAGCATCATTCTTCCCTTGTTCCCTTCTTTTGTTGCTCTTCTGCTGTTCGCTCCTCTCCTCCTCTGATCTTTGACTTTCTTCTCCTCTACTTTACTTCCTTTTCTGTTTCCTCCCACTATTTTTCTCCTCTCATTCTTCCTTGTTGCCCAGAATCTCTTCTTTCTCAGCTTCTTCTATTCCATTTTCATCACATTTCCTTTCTCCTCAGCACCCGTCCTCTCAGCTTAGCTTTCTCATGTTCTCCTTCTTCCTCTTCCATCTAGCCATCATCCTCTCATCTCTTTTCTTTCCTCTTTACTGCCCGTCACATCATTCTTTTCTTCCATTCCCTTTAATCTTTTCCCCTTTCCTCTCCTTTTTTCTTCACTCCTCTATCTCTCCTCTATTTCCTTTTATCATCTATCTATCTATCTATGTCTATTCCTTCTCCATCTTCTTCTGATCTTCTCCTCTCTCCTTCTGCCCCTTCGTCATCTTCTCTCTCCTAGCTCTTTTCTGTCTTCCCTTCTTCTTCCTTACATCCTTCCCTCTCTCCCTCCTCGTAAACAGAGGACAGCTTGATTGATTTTTTCGTTTCCACTCAGGCTTTCTCTCTCCTCGGTCATCCCTCCCTTCTCTTCTCTTTTCTCTCCATTGCAGCCGTCAATCAATAAAAACATCCTTGGGCATAGCACACACATTTCATACGTCTCAACATGTTGCACCAGAAAAAAGGAAAACTGGACAGGAAGTGGAAAATGATCAGTACATACATGCACACCTACATACAGGGCTGCTGTGATGTGAAGTCATTGGTATCACATTCACATACCATCTGCTGGTGTGTCCTACTCTCCGTCACACACACTCAAACACACATGTACCGAAAGAGACATCCCCACACCACATGTTAACACACATCCCTTGCATACAAAACCACGTCAACACGCGTCATATACACATGACACGCATCTGAGCATCCTCTCTGCAGCAGCAGCAGCAGCAACAGAAGGCGATAGGCGACCGCTGAAT